AGTAAATGTTGAAAATGGCCACCATGACTCTCCATGCAATAATAAAGATTTTGCTCAAAACGTTGCCGCCCATTTTGCAATATTTGAGGAGTAATTTGAAGGCACTCACTCACAATTCTTTGTCGCAGGTCATCTAATGATGTTGGCTGAGTAGCATAGATTTTGCTTTTTAAATGACCCCACATAAAGAAATCCAAAGCTGATAAATCTGGCGATCTTGGGGGCCATTCAATGGCACCTCTTCCACCAATCCATCGATCTGGAAACGTCTGATCTAAATATTGTCGAACACGTAGTGCGTAATGTGGTGGGGCTCCATCCTGTTGGAACATCAACCTATTCGCAATGTACCGCCGATCATTCTGATTTTCAATAATGGCTGTTAATGCAGGATCTATGGCATCTTCCAGTAATTCCAAATACATTTCACCAGTCAAATTTCCAGGTAAGAAAAAAGGACCAACTAAATGATCGCCAAAAATACCAGCCCAAACATTTAATTTTTGTGGCTGCTGTGGATGAACCCCATGATAAATTCTGGGATTAGAATCGGACCAATATCGGCAGTTATGACGATTTACTACCCCATTTAAGAAAAAGGAACATTCGTCGGAAAAGCAAGTGTTGAATAGAAAATGTTCATCGTTTATAATTCGTTCACTCATCTCTTCACAAAATTGTAATTGCCGATCAAAATCGTCTTCATTAATTTCTTGTACCAGGTGAATTTTATACGGATGAAAATTATGGGCCTTTAGCATCCGTTGGACAGTACGTCGACTAACACCACACACAGTCTCCAATTTGCGGGTACTTGACGTAGAATCTACATAAACTTGCCCTAAAACCCCCACTTCTATTGCTTCGTTCCTTATGGGGTTTTCAATGTTGCGTTTTTTATTGGCGACTGACCCAGTTTCCCGAAATTTAGCTACAAGTTCTAGAACATATTTTCGATGCACGTTGCTGTTCTCATGTCGCTCATTTAAATATTTTTGCTGTTCTATTAGCGCACTGATTATTTCAGAAAAATATTTCGATAATTTCAACTCTTTCTGCTGTGGAATATACCATGGTTAATTTATGTAATCAAGCGTTACAAGTTATTTTAGCAACAAAGTTTGGTCAAGTCAATCGCAAAATGATGAACAAACCATGGGCGTAGTGAAGAAAAGCATTAACTTATTAAGTAAATTCTTTTAGTCAAATTTCTTCTGAAAGTAGTACAAACTAATCTGATGTACCTATTAAAGTCTACTTTAAGCTTTAAATCAATAAATCTTCAAAACTATTGAACTGAAGTTCATGTATTTTGCATCATTATAAAGGGAATTGGAAGACCTTTAAAATAAGGTATCACTCGACCCCCCTTTCCATTTAAGATTTTAGGGTTGGTGTCACCCCCGCCCAGGGGGCTGCACATGTTAACGTGATTTTTTGCCAAACTTGTGTCCCCTCGAAAACAAAATCGACGGGTCTAAGCGTTTTTAAAAAAAAAACTGAGCTGCCAGCTGTTTCGTTTTCGATGCGACACCCTGTATGTTGAAGTAACTCAATTTGCACATCAAAATTTCCATGGATTAGTACAATGTATTGAAGGCTAAGTGAGGAACATGTAAGTTAATAGAATATAACCGTGAACTTGAAAACGCTAGAGGCATCAAGTATTCTATTAACTATCTCAAAACTGAAGGCTAGAAACATGTGAAACGATTTAACGCTAGAAGGTTGCGGTTCCGTAGCGATGACCTGAGAGCCAACTCATGTTTTCAGATATTATTTTTAATTCTTGGCATTCCATTTTAACAGTTCCAATTTTAAAGAAGACCGATGGTTACACGTAAGCTAAACGCTTCAGCCTGCGTTGAAAAACATAATCAGACTGTAATGTTACTCACTACTGTGTTCAAACCTGGGATTTACAACGATCACGTGCAAGCCACAAGCAAGTATTTACATTCAGTGTATCTTAAAGTGAATGTACTCTGGTATAATATAAAATAGCCAAATTTGAGCCGAAACTCTGATCAAGGTACGAATCACAACGAAAATAATTCACGGTTACACATGATAGTTGATTAGTACTTCTCTTTTCAGTACTTTCATATTTCCATATTTGCATTGAAAATATCAAAATTCTTCTGGCAGGCGAGCGACAAATTTGGATTATATGAATTCGTAGCTAAAATTATGAATATTTTATCTCTGAATCGAAATTTATCTCTTTCAAGTTACTCAATAATTTATTGACCCTTGAAGACAATCCTACACCATCTTTCTCCAGCAATACAAGAGAAGGAAATAAATTTCTAATAGTAATCTCCATCTAACTTTTAAAAGTTTCACTCACATTCTTCAACTCCTTTGACAGCCGACACACAACATAAATTATAAAGCGCACAGTTTGCTTGAATTACATGGTGTGAGCTTGTCAATACAGGATACCGCATTCATACCAAAAGCTTAATATATAGTAAGTTTTGCTGTTGTCGTCATGGGTACACCACAAGGTATGAATGAATAAATTCAAGTTATATTGAAAATGAGTTGTTAGTCTTGGTCTGATGTCAGCTAATTCAAAATGCAACTAGGAGGAGGTTTCGATAGAAATTTGTACAGTGCACGGACTAATATATGCGCAAACCGATGAGTCACACGCTAGCAGCAGCAGTTTTTCAAGAGTGTGCATCTACTATAGTTGTCAAACATATTTTCAAAAACTTAAAATTTTGAAATCAGGTAAGGTACATTTTTTGTTGCTACATTCATATTACTATTGACAATGAAAGAGCAAAAATATGAAGGATTTACGAATTGTACAAATATGGCATTAGGGAACAGATGTACACGAGTGAGTAGAAAGCATATTACCAATGGGAACCTAGTATACTAACTTATAGTCACACAGATTCCCTTATATAAATATATGAAGGCATCAGTGTCGCTATAAGGTGTTATAAATATTCAGTGTTTTACAAAAAGGTACCCTCCACTTATTTTTTGAATGAACGAAGATAGCAGGCTAACGTTTTTAGCGATGAAACTGATTCACGAATACTATATCTTAAGATAAAAGTGATTGTTATAAATTTCAAGATGGCGGCGAGGTACCATATTGGAACATTTTTTAAACGTAATCTGATACCTCTATTTGAAGCAGCTAAGCAGTATTTTATAACCCTGAAGTATAAATTAATTATCAAATTGCGGACTGTCGGGTAGTCAAATAAATGTTTACAATGAAACGCATATAACAACTAATGATCATAACTAGAGCATGTAACATAAACCTCCTTCTTTTGGAAGAGTGTATCTGAATGTGCAATTGAATATGGGACAAAAAATGTCAGATTCGTACAATTTATATAAACAGAATGTTCCATACTTTATTGCGTATTCGGATAGATTTTTTCAGAGGAAGTATATTAATATGACATACTATGGCAGTTTGATGATTTCGCTGTTGGGTTATCTGCAATTCATTGTGCAAAAATTCTCAAACTCAACAACCTGTCCGTCCGTCAATCTAAAACGTAATAATTTTACATTCTAGGTTTATGAAGTACCAATGAGAGACTTTAAATGAGGTATTGCATGATTATTTAGAATGTTATGATAACGCTCAGCCGCCAGCTTGCAATTTTTAAGTTTACCTTTACGAAATGGTTCTTTCAAGCTAAAATATAGTATTTTTGCACCAGTTTCGTCACTCCGAATTTCAATCTGTCAGCTGCACTCGTTAAAAAAGTGGAGACTTTTAAGAGTATCACTTAGACATTTGGCTCACTGCGTGACTCAACCTTTCAATCAAATGACAGCAATATACTCAACTTCATGCCCTCAAACGACAGCAAATCTCTTCAAACTTTGACATGAATGTAATATACCGTATATATTTACTGTGCACAGTGTCATCTATCGGTGAAATTTCGCGAGTATTACTGTATAAGACACAAACATCTAAACATATATCCATCATATATTGAAAAATCAAAAAGCGTATAGAGATTGCAAGTGTGTGATGGTAAAAATGTAAAGATATATTTTGATATAAATCGATTTAGGAACGGTTATCATTGTATATACTGGGTGTTAGCGATAAGCGCAATACTCATAAATACAGAATTGGGGAACAAATGCCTACGTTTACTAGCAAGAACACCCTGTATACAAAATGACATTAGACATTCAGCTAGTTGAAGGGATTGGATGGCAGACCAAGGTCGAGTATTTCTCAGGTCACAAAATGTTTCAACCAGGATTAAAAAAAATATTGTATATGTACCGCATAAATGGAAGATTGAATTTGCCGTCAATGTATTAGTTGTCTGTGATATAGTTCATTTCATCCATGTAACTTGTAATTACACTCGTCCATTCACGTTATGTTTGGTAGTTTAGAGTTAGGTTTGATTTTTTGATTATCGCAATTTGATAATTGTTGAAGGCTATAATTTATAATTACGATGACCCTAAAGAAATCCTACGCGTTTCTTCATAGTTGTAAAAAGCCGAGGTAAAACTGAAAATAAAAGGTTGCTATTTATATCTAGGCCATGTATTCCAAAGTTTGAAATATTCTTCTAGTTTAGGCAACGCAAATATACTATGTATATGGAAAATCTCGTTGATGATCAACGCTTTACTGAAACGTGCTTGGCTCAAATTCGTTAAATGCATTAGTTTAATCTAGCATTGTTTTTTATTCTTATGTCTTGTGTTGCGTAATAAAGTCGAGCTTAATATTTTATGAACTTTCAGGATACTTACGCGCTACGCCAAATGCACAAACAATTTCTTTTTTGTGAACCCGCAAAACTTGTTCTGGCTTTTTCTCTGAGAGGGTGTTAATTTCAGATTATACCGGACAGTGCTCAATCATTTAAATACAACGGATATTACAAGACAACAATAGAACCTCGCCTGTGCTGCCACCCTTCCCAAATCTCTAAGCCCCCAACTCCAACCTTCACCGATGCCCAATAACTAGCCTGGATTACCTTTGTTCCGCTGTTGTCCCACATTCTGCTGCATCTGACCACTTTGGCCCTGCTGCTGTATCTGGCCACCCTGTCGTTCCCTAGGAGGGGGCGGGGGGCCCCGCGCCCCTGGACCTGGCTGCCCCACTCTGCCTCCCGCTGTTCTGCTGCCCGTACCTATGCCCGGCTGGCTGCCCCTACTTGCTTGACCCGCACCTGTATTGACATCAGTAAGGAACAGAAAATTCACGACTAGGGGTCATGAAAAACACACCTTACTATAATACAGGGTGTTCCGCAAGACATCAACTACCTTTTCGGCTAGACATGACCACTTACCGTCTGAATAAGTAAAACTATTTAATAGTTATTTAAAATTCTTGATCCAATCGTGTGTTTTTATTTTCTAGGCCAACAAATGAAAAGATTATCTAATGATATTTATAATCAATGTATGCAATAATAGACCCTTTGAATAAAGTAAACAGCTTTTTAAAATTAATCGGACCTACCATAAAACTGTTTGCCTTAATTTTATTCGCCATCGACTGGCATTAGGTAAGTCATGGAAAAATTTATTATGTTTTATTATTTTTGTACCGATGGAATCTGCATGATCCGTACCGCTTTAGAACCTAGTGATTGGGATTTTTTTGAATTGGATAAAATGGAATGAACTAATCTCAAGTAATGGGTGTCCAGTGGGAGAGGTCTTCATCGACGCGTTCGGCGTGCGGGTTAAATAGTCACAATAGAACGTTGGACCGGAGCGCAACGTGCTTTTGCTATCGAGGCTTTCTTCAAGAGTCATGATTCATACGCAGCTGCCCTTCAGCAATTTTGTACCAGATGCAACATTCGCCGACCAAGATATGCCCCAAGTAAGAAAGTATCGAAAAAGTGGATTAACAGGTTCCGTCAAACAGGCTCTACTTTTAGTCAACCCATTCCTGGCCCCACACATACTGTATCAACCGAAGAAAATGTACATCGAGTATGTGATTTGATCATTGCAAATCCTCGGCGTTCTGTACGGAAGCATTCCGCTGCTTTAGGAATGCCCATTTCAACACTGCATGGCATAATGAAGGAAAAAGGTGGGTTTTCCTTCTTATAAAATTCAATGAGTCTATGCTTTAAAGAAAAGTGATTACGTATTACGGTAATCTTGTGCTGAACGGATGTTGAATCTTTTTCCTACGCAGCGCAGACTCGATAACGTTATTTTCAGTGACAAAGCCTTTTTTCACTTACACGGCTGTGTGAACAAGCAAAATTGCAGATCTTGGGCACCAACGAACCCAAACAACAAACATCAACAATAGCTACACATTCCAAAGGTGACTGTTTGTTGCGTCATATCCTCTAACGGTATTATTGGGCCGTATTTCTTTGAAGATGGAAACATTGACAGTCATTTCCGAGAGATACAATGACATAATTTTGACACTTCTTTTTGCTCCTATTGTGAGAACAGAATATCGATTCAACAGAAACTCGTGTATGGGGCCACTGCCCATACTTCCAGAGGATCGATGGACATGGTAAGAGCACTTTTTACTCAAAAAGTTATATCGAAGTTTGGAGACATTCACTTACCCTCCTAGGTCACCCGACCTCACGCCATCCGATTATTTTTTGTGGGGATATCTAAATTCAAAAGTGTATTCCAATAATCCACGAGCACTGAAGGAGCATAAAGACAACATTCGACGAGAAATAACGAACGTTGCTCCGTAACTCTGCAAGAGGGTCTTTCAGTATTTGCGCGCGCTATTAGAAGATCGTGTCCGAAGGCATGCCTAACATTTGGACGGAATGATATTTAAGAAATGAAACCCGTCGAATTTACGAATATATTAATAGCAATAAATATTTTCTTTTCATTAGTTTTGTATTTTTTATCTTAAATCAAAAAGCGAACTTTCCCACTTTACACCGTATTACCGAAATTATTGTTTAATAATAATAATAAAGCAGCATAATATCAAACAGCACCAACGTGCGTCTACCACGTACGAGTATATATATATATATGTATATAATCATCGTAGATGTCATTCAACATGTCTCGAGACAAACCACTTTAATTAAGACTGTCGCTATCTTTGGCTAGAGGCATAGGCCCAGCAGGTTTCATTCTGACCTAGAGCATACTAACTAATAATACAGTAACTATTCTCACCGTACTGATCTGAAGCTTCGGTGAGAAAATTGGATGGCACCAAACCTCTAACTCCATCTATCTCCGCCATGTAAAAGCCGTCGTCATCCATCTCGCCGTATACGTTGATTATCTGCCCTGTGGTGAAGCTCAATTCCACCTGCAGTTGGGGGGAACACAAAGGGGGGTAGAGCCACTTCAGTAACATCGACAATTTGGTTTTACATATTTGTACAATTAAAAACACAATTTGCTATGAACTTCATAATAATGAGGGAAGACCTGTTGCTACAGAATCGCAGCCGTTGAGATAGTTGAAATAGAACCTCTAACAATAAATGTTACAGAAGCTATATACTCGTATAACAGTACTAGACGACATTGTATAAAGTATTCACTTTCTACTGGCATATACTACATTGATCAAAGAAGTCAAATGGTGAGGTTCATCCTAACGGAACGAGCGTATATAGTTCTACTGGCATTGATATTGCTACGTGCACAAATACGCTTTATAACTGTATGAGGTAAAGTGGTTTAGTAATAAATGTTAGCTAAATTTCAAGTTGGACGTGTAACGCGGCCATTTTTCAGAGATAAGAGGATAATGGATTATTGTTAACATAATATGTTGCAAGCCCAAACATTTTGATTCTAGTATGTTTAATTAATACTAACAGGTATTATTATTAATGCTCACCTCAGCGTCTACATTAGGGCTCAGTTCTTGAGGATCGTAGTCATACAAGGCTACCATGCGTTTTACAGGCGTATTGGCGTATATATCTCCCCATCTGTCGCGATTCTGATTGCCTTCTAGCTCCATTACCATATTATGGGGAACGTAGCCTCTCCTCCCTTAATATCAACATTAACATTAAATTGATACGTTACTATAAGTTATACGAACAAGAAAATAACTACCTCAGGAGACCAACAAATATTCAAAGTTTGAAGGGTCCAACGAAAATATGTTACGGCTGCTTTATGACGTCTTCTGAACATTTTTAAATTCTTTTATATTCAGTTTACGAGACATGCCTCCATATTTCACGATTATCGTATCGTAGGGTGTCACAGAATGCTTGCAGCAAATTTTAAGGGCAAATACTTCATCCAAAAATATAAAAAAGTGACAGCTCAGAGGTTGTTTCTTGCTAACGATAAAGAGATAATTTTTATTATGAAAACGGAACATCGGAACGAACGAAAAATTCCAAGAGTGAGTTTTCAATTGGAATCTAGATAGCCTTAGGGAACTGATACTAGTTGTTTGTAAAACTTGGGACGCATTACGAAAACGTATTTTTGGACCTACATAATTATGTTCATATGATCCTCTTCGGTTTTAACGATATGGACACAATATATGGATGGATATGCTCTTCAGTTTTGTTATATACAATCTGTAACACCCTGTGTAATATTTAAAATCTGCACTTAAAACCTTGTTTAGTGATCAGCTTCGATCTTTTTTATAGTAGTAAATAACAGGGCATAGTCAAGTAACGTATTAACTTTGCGTACTCGCCTCGACATTCTCCCCAATAAAATCCATCGGCATCTTTGTCGCCCCACACCTTGATAGTATCGCCTTCTGAAAATGGTAGCTCTTCATCGCATGCATCAGGATTGGGTGACATAGTGGCAGGATCATAATCGAACAAAGCAACAAACCACCTCGCCCTCTTTTGTGGATAAGGTGGTTGTCCAGTTCCTGGATTGCCTTGTTGGGCCATGCCTGCCCTGGCTTGTCCCTGCGTCAGATGAGCCTGACCGCCACGCGATTGAAGCGGACCTCCGCCACGTTGCTGCATCTGCTGCCCTGATTGGCTGGTGATAGCTAGAAATTGAACAGAGCCGAAACTAGGATGGAATGTTAGGTAGAATGTTTTGTTTCGGTAGGAATAAAACTTGTTTCAACGTAGGAGTAAGAGAGTAAAAAAAGTAAGAGGTTGGTGCTTTTGTGAAAGTGTGATGGAAGAAATATCGGTTATCGGAAGAAAACAGTTGCTTTTAATAAGTTTGTTGTGCAGTGCTCTCGTACACTCGGCCTTTACCATAACTAATTTTTAAAGCATTTGTACGGGGTGGCCAATACATAACAGGCTGATTGAAATTCCGCGCCATTTTCGATACACGCATTTCAGTAGGTGGCGCTGTAGTAGTTTTTTAAAGCACGTGTGTCCAATTCACCATGGAGCGCTACACGATCTCACAATGCGTCCGTATTGTTAAAACGTTTTACTTTAATAATGAGTTGATTGTTGCAACGATTTCGGTCAGAAATGATGTGCCCAGTGTCAACACCATTCGTCAGTTGGTGCGGAAATTTGAACAAACAGGTGAGGTTAAACACATGCCAAGATTGGGCCGTGTTCGAATTGTTTGTACTCCGGAATATATCGAGAGAGCTCGTGAAAGTGTCGTGGAGCACCCTGAGACGTCTACCAGACATCGTTCTCAAGAACTGGGTATTCGTCGCACGTCATTATGCACTATTTCAAAAAAAGACTTGCATTTGCGCCATCCAAATTCAGTTAACCCAAAAACCACAACAGCCTAATGACCATGAAAGTCGCCGACAATACAGTCATGCAATATTGCAGCTTAATACCAAAAATAAAGATTTTTTGCGACAACTGATATTGAGCGCTGAGGCCCACTTCGATATGAACGGATTTGTTAATAAGCAGAATTGTCGTATCTGGGCATGAGAAAACCCTTGTGACATCCATCAACGACCACTATATCCTCGTCGAATTACAGTTTGGTATGGTGTTTGGTATAGAGGTGTCATTGGACCTTACTTCTTTGAAGACGCTGCAGGTAATTCTCTTACTGTCACTGGCAAGCGCTACCGTGATATGGTGCAAAACTCTCTGGCTCCTCAAATTCAGCAATTTAACCTGCAAGACATGTGGTTCCAGCAGGACGGAACAGCTTGCCACCAAGGTCACCGTATTTAACAGCTTCTGACTTTTTTATGGTTATTTTTGAAAAATAAGGTTTATGGCAACAAACCAAATACTTTAGAGCAGCTGAAGAACCATACTACGGAAGCGATTGAATATATACCTCCCGAAACCTGCCAAAAAGTGGCGGAAAATGTAATCAAGAGGGCTCAGGTTTGCGCGGCTTCTAGATGCGGACATTTGGCTGATATAATTTTTCATACCTAATTTCAATAAAAGATTAAGATGAGAAAAATAGTCGTATTTTAGTTCGTTTCACAAATATTCAAGACACAAACCAATCAGTTACATATCGACCACTCTATTAATACATAATAAATGTTGAACTGATTTTAAATAATGTCTCTAAATGGCTTTCAAACAGTCAAATTGACATTTGTTAATAATAAACATATAAATGTAAATTTCAAAAACATCTCTTGTTTATATTTCATTGACAATGCGGACGTTTTAAAATTCATACCTTGGACTTCCTGATCAAAACTGTTTGTAAGTTGTGTAAGTGGAACTTCAAAATTTGTATTTTTAATTTTTTTAGTTTTTAGAAATGCAGTTTTTTAAAAGGCTCACATGTGATGATTCTCAACAACAAATATAAGATATTTTGCTAGAAGCAAACAATATCTTTGAGCTTAAACCCAAAAATCTGCTGAAAGAAGCATGTAACCTGAAAATAGTGAGCGACGGTATAACCTCTATCCTACTATATAATTCAAAGAAATAACTTTTTAATATAAACTTTCCTAATTTATATCTACATGATCTAATACCTTGACCTATACATACTACTGACATGGACTACTTCACTCTTCTACATTCTAAGCGATTTTGCTCTAGGCGCTAATTTTCGTATTTTCTATTAAAATACATGCTCGTTTTCTATATACCGTTTTTATCTAAGACCTAGGCCTATACACGTGTTGTACTAAGTATGTAAGCTTGATAGAATGTGCAGAAAAATAAGCGTGTGTGTCATAGATTAGGGTCATTTCAGCAGGCTTACCTGTGCGAGAAGTGAGTGGTAGAATAAAGTTGAAAATGCTGTGTTCTAGGGTCAGTGTAGATTTAAGTTCTGTAGTCATTTTTCCACTTTCCGACAAAAATTGTACATAAACTTGATATCTTTATTTTAGTATTATGGTTAGGAATGTATCAATTTTCTTCGCAAAGAAGTTTGTAGTTGAGTAGGTTCCTATTTCATTATTACGAACGGAATCAGAAACAGTATAGGTTCTATAGTTCCAATTTGTTTACACTCTAAATGAAAACAAGATCTTTATACAATCCAATATTTAGTAACAAGAAATGTCATCGAATTACTTCTTTTCACTCTACTAAGATTAGACAAATAAGTGGAATGTTTTAATATTTGATAATCCTTGATCCAGTCTTAGAGACTCATGCTGACAGTACATTTTGCTTGTAAAGTCGTCATGCTAGATGTAGTATCTGTAGCATCGAACGTATTGTCGTCGACAAGCGTACAGATACGCAGTCTTTTCCTCAAGCACGTCAATTCGCACGTAACTATCAACCGGTTGACCGTACTCATGCGAAGCAAGTGACGGAACGCGTCAACGAAAATGGACGATTGGGTACCACACATTTTGCTTAACGATTTAAAACTGTACAAGAAAAACGTACGTTTTGCATGAATATCTATGCCAGCCTCAGTATCGCCATACCTTCTTATGTCATAGCATAACAATCGTTTCGTAAACTATATTCCATTAAGTCCTCACTTTTCTGTGATAGTTTCACCAGTTCCCCTAAATCAAGCAGTTAACAAGTGATTTCTCTTCACATGTTATATGCGTATGTTACCTTTCCGCACAAATATTGACTTTGCGTACCAAGGAGAGCCACTTAGGTAATCATGAATAGGAACCCTTGGCCCAACTTCAACGTCACATATAAACCACTTTCCCTTCCAGTCACGTGTTCCTGTTTACCTTGCTGCTGCTGATAATACTGCCCTTGCTGTCCTTGTTGGGTAGGGGGCTGGGCGCTTTGCGGAGATTGCTGCTCCGACACAGTCCCACCCCTAGTCTGCTGCCGACCGCCCCTTTGTTGTTGTTGCCCTGCCCTCTGCTGTTGCTGGCCACGCCTGCTGCTACCACTGTCCAATAGCTCGTCCTCACTGAGTCCCGCTTCGTAGTTCTCCTTCGTGATCTCTGGAACGTTGCATCGTTGCGCTACCGTACAGAGGGGAGGGAAGGGATGGGGGTTCAGATTAGTGGTTCCTAGCTTGTCTGACACACACAGCGCTATTGTCGGATTTGTGCTTGGCTTTAAGTTATTCTATCACTGAAGCAGATTAAGCACAACCAGCACACGGTTTGATGATCACAAAAATGTGTTATTGTGTACGAATGACATCCTATTGAAACTCTGGTGGAGCCCCAATTTATTGCCCATATTTGGCGTTTCGTGTTCATCCACAAAACAACTTGTTCTTATTAGCATTTCCATAACTGGAAATAATCTACTTAATTCGTTTCGTAAATGTTGACTATTCTGTGGAGAGACGACGTTTCCTTATTTTGCCAGCAATACGTTCGATCATCGATTATTCTTTATTTCTGCTGCCTCAAGGAGATACATGGGTATTCTAAGATGCAATACATGTTTGTACATATACTCAGTGATATTAGAAGTGTTACACCCGGAAACAAATAATTTCTTCATCTTGACAATGTCAACGTTTTATCTTTATTTTTGTTTACCTTTGTTAAAATTAGCTTTTGTTTCCAGTTTCTGAGAGCTGAGTAGTCCAGATATTTTTAGTTATTGCTCTTTCATTTGCTAATGTTAAGCATAACAAAATGCCTTGAGTTCGAAGACGTCCTAATTATCACCATGTTGACAGGGGTCGAATTATTGCCTATCGAGATGTTGGTTTGTCCTATCGCGAAATTGCCAGCCGTGTTAATTGTACTGCAATGACGGTAACGCGTGTGTGTCATGTGAGGATACAAGAAGGTAGAGAAACACGAAGAAGGCCAACTGGTTTACCGAGGTGTACCACAGGTTCAGACAACTAGCCCTTTTACTACGAGGGATGTCTTTTAAGTTTTGCATATGGAAATAAAACAACACGGTAGGTCGTTTTAAATGACTTTATTGTTTTTCGAAGTATCTCCACGAAGATTAATACACATCTGCATGCGCTCTTTTCTAAGCACTTATTCCACTCATTTGCTGGCAGATCCAAAACGGTCAAGCGTTTTTTGACACCAATTAACTCTGGCTGCTTTCTGCTCTTCAGTCAACAGGTGGGGTATCCAACGAAAACTAATTTTCTTGCTCCTAATTCTTCATGTCAAATTTTTTGAATTAGAGTCTTTGAGATCTTCAAGGACGCCTCAATCTCGCGATATGTCACAAGTCTACCTCCAATGATGAGTTTGCGCACAGCATCGACGTTTTCCTGGGTGACTGCCGTTTTTGGTGCACCCACCCTGGAATGCTAAGACTCTCAGCCGTCCACGTTTGAATTTTCCATACCAACGGGGAATTGTAGACTGATGTGTCGCCTCGTTGCCGAAAACAGATAGTAGCTCAGCAAGGCATTCTTGTTGCGATAATTGTCTCTGAAAGTTGTAATAAAATATGGCGCGAAAATGTTCTTGGTTGAGTTCCATTTTTCTAATGACTTGGTGACATTTAGAAATTCACTGTAGTGAGAACACTGCACGTACTGTTGTGAAACTTTGAATTTAAGTTTACTAAAGAGTGAGGTTAAGATTCAGTAGGGGAGACCGGGGCTGGTAGCCGCACGGGTTGGTAGCCGCACTGGCTTTTTCCCCAAAACTATAAATATGGCGACAATGCCGCGTCTCGTGTTTTAAAGCTTAAGTCGCGCCCGAACTTTGTGGAACGTTTCAGTCTGATCAGTGCAATAGAAGTGACTGCACGCCGTCAAGTGTTATTTTGATGCTCGTAAGTGAATTTATTTTTTCTATTGTTTTTATTATAACTTTTGATGTAAAAGTAAGAATATAAAACGAAGTAGACCGTCAGAATTCTACGGAAATCTATTTTTTAGTAACATATTTTTAATAACCACTTTAGTTACCAGACAAAAAATAAACGCAAAAGTATTTTAAAAAACGCTTTGGGGTCGGTCGCCGCATTTGTTGAGGGGCAGGTTGCCGCATGCGGCAACCATCCCCACTTTGGGTTTTAAATCATATTGTTGCGACGCAAAAATGTATTTATTTATATATACGTAATTTTAACGATAAGCTTAGCATGAATAATTTAACTTCTAACATAATCATAGCGAATGACCACCTGTATCCGATGTAAACTATAGAAGTTACTCGTATTCCACGTAAATAGAAAAATAACAAGTGTAAAACAAAAGTAAATCCCCGTATTACTGTGATGACGAGCAACTTCCTGTTTACCGCTTTTCATCCTTATTAGCTAACTCTATCTGGAAATCTCCCTTTCAACTTTTACGCTCATTATCCCTACCTTAGCTTCACATTTGCATCTAACTGGACCTAACCTGTATCCACTTTTCACTTTCACGCCTACTCTCGACTTATTCCCTTTAGCTCCACCCTTATGACGTCCTATCTATACCTTAGCATTTAAACCTTTCTTAACACTCCTACTCTTCCCTAATCAACCAAAAGAATAGCATTGGATAATATTAAACACATAGCTGCATGCGAAAAATATTGTATACGTCGACAGCATGACAGATTCGTCTCAACTTGCGCACGAGTAACACATAACTGTTATCTCCAACCACTTGTAACTCTTTATCGTATAACGCCATAAATTAAAATAAATCAATATATGTAAAAAATAAAGTCTTTGTAGATCAATTTGTACAGAGAAGAGTGAGTATACATAATAATAAATATATATTTCACTCCTACACTCAACACATATAATTTGGAAAAACATATTTAAAAACGTTTTATTATCTTCATAGAATATGAGAAACCGTAAAAGAACCACTGAAAGGGGTAAGACACCAGCACACATTATGCTAAGGGCTGCAAGAGAGGTCAAATTAAATAATAAATCCATTAGAGGAGCAGGAACCGATTACGATATCCCTGAAAGAACCCTGAGACGATTTCTGCAGAAAGTCACGGATGAAGAGCTTTATGGCACTAATGAACTACCTACAACTGCAGTCGGCTATATAAAAAATAGACAGGTAAAAAAATATAATTACTTATTGGGCACTTTAGTAAACAGTGTGCTTGTGAATTATTTAATACATTTTCTTCATTTTCAGGTTTTCTCCGACGACCAAGAGAAACAATTAGAGGAATATATATTAAAGGCTGCCGATGTATACTTTGGCTTATCACCAAAACAGATAAGAACTTTTGCTTATGAATGGGCTGTCTCACTAAAAATTAAATTTCCCGATTCCTGGAATACAAATAAATGCGCCGGACAAGATTGGTTTACCTATTTTATTAAAAGACACGCTGGTCTGTCTATACGTACGCCGGAAGCCACAAGTTTGGCACGAGCATCAGGATTCAATAAGCACAGTGTAGGAATTTTTTTTAAACAGTTCTGCATAGGCTACAAATTGGTCCTCAGGATATCTACAATATGGATGAAACTGGAATTACGACCGTTCAAAAACCTGACAGAATTGTAGCAAGAAGGGGCTTTAAACAAGTAGGTCGAATCACCTCTCAAGAAAGAGGCACATTAGTGACTCTCGCGATAGCTGTAAACGCCATTGGTAATAGCATTCCGCCCTATTTTATTTTTCCACGCGTTAACTTTAGAGAGCACATGCTCTCTGGTGCCCCACCTGGAAGCGCTGGCGCAGCTAACCAGTCTGGATGGATGAAAAAGGAGCATTTTCTGCACTGGTGTCAACATTTTGTTAAGCACACTGGTTGCTCCAAAGAAAGGCCGGTACTTCTGTTGTTAGACAACCATGACTCCCATTTATCAATTGATTCTTTGGACTATCTTAAAGAGAATGGAGTGACGGTGTTGTCCTTTCCGCCACACTGCTCTCACAAGCTACAGCCGCTGGACAGATCAGTGTATGGGCCCTTAAAAAAATATGTAAATACAGCATGCGATGGTTGGATAACCAGTCATCCAGGGTCTAGTATGACCATCTACGATGTCCCTGAAATTGTGGCCGTAGCTTTGCCAAGCGCAATAACACCAAAGAACATAACAGCAGGGTTTAAAGTGTCAGGAGTTTATCCATTCAATGAATGTGTCTTTTCTGAAGACGAATTTCTCCCCTCTTATGCTACTGACCGCCCACTTATTGAGCAAGCAAAAGATGATAAAATTGACAGGAAACCTAATAATAGCCCTAAACCTAAAATATCTCAGGATACTAGTCCCCAACCAGGAACATCTCGGGATTATTCTGAAATTCTTAACGCTGATAGCTCAATGCCAAAAACTTCTGAGATAAACCCACCGCTCGAAGAAAAAACCCCGGAAAGCAAATAATTAAAAATATTAACATATTAGCCAAAGAAGATACCGAGTTGAACACCCAAAAAAAAAACAGTCAGTCCATTTGAGCTAAAGCAACTGCCAAAAGCTCCACCAAGAAAAAATGAGAATAAAGGAACTCGAAAAAGGCGTCACACCGAGATTTTGACGCCAATAAAACAGGCACACAAACAAAAAAAGTTCCAATAAGAAAAGAGCTTAAAAATAACAAAGAAAACAAAATAAAAAGAAGAAAAATGTAAATAAAAAACAATTGGCTGAAGAATCGAGCGATGAAGATGAGTGTCTATGCGCTTACTGCCTTGATACTTTTACAAACAGTCGTCCGGGTGAGGAATGGATTAGATGTTTTTCATGCAGTGGGTGGGCACACAAAGAATGTGTGGGAGAAGATAACGCTCCTTTTTATTGTATTAATTGTATGAGTGAGTAGAGAAGTGTTTGTAACTTAAAATGTTAATATTTTTTATTTTAAGTCTTTGTGACCTAAGTTCATTAAAGAGTTAGTTACCTAATTTTCTTATAAGTTTAACACTTAACGATAACTTTGACTGTTTTTTTAGTTTTACTTTTTATTACCTGAGTTCATTAGTTAAATTTTCTAATAATTTTAGGTTTAAAAAAATGTACCTATTTGATTAAAAAAAATAAAAACATTTTTCTTGTCAAAATTTAATATTAGAAAATAAAAAATCACACATTCTTTATTTTTTTACAATCATTTTTGTATGCGGCAACCTACCCCATGTGGTGCGTCAACCAACCCCGTTAGAGGGGTAGGTTGCCGCACTCTGCTTTACTGAAGGAAATATATATTTGTATCAAAACGATATGAGATAAGAAAACAAAAAAAATTTTTTATGTTGCAAATATATAGGACTTTTCACGGCAACAATGGGTTTTAAAAAATATTAGTTATAGTAGCCGTCATAAAATAAATTCAAAAAAGTGCGGCTACCAGCCCCGGTCTCCCCTACTGTCGTTCGATCCGCGCGGCCTACTACGTTTCTATATGCAAAACTTAAAGGACATCCCTCGTATGCGTACACTCTATCGCCGCATTCGAGCCTTTGGACTTTTTTCATACCGGCCACGGTTAGTGCTTCCTATGACTGCGGACCACTGTCGGCAACGGTTGAACTGGAGCAGAGAACGGCCACGTTGGGAGGCAAAATGTCACCTTCAGCGACAAATTGCGATTATGTCTAGGTACGCACGATGGTCGTAGAAGAGTAAGACGCCGTCGTAGAGAACGGCATGATATTGGATTTGCTGTTGGGATGCATATACACAGGGCTGTTGTAGTAATGATTTGCCTGTGGTAGCCGATCACCCCATCTCTTTGTTCAAGGCAATATGGCTGCTGCGCGTTATGTTGATGATGTCCTACGAACCACTTTACAGCGATCCACAAGTCCTTTTTCAGCAAGACAACGGAGTTTCTTCAAGAAGCAGGCGTTAATGCTTTGTCGTGGTGACCCCGTTTACCGCATTTAAATCCCATCGAACATACGTGAGGTGTGACTATCCAATTTACACCATCCGCCACAGACTCTTCCACAGCTAATCCACGAAGTTCGAGTTGCTTGGAATGAGGTGTCGCAACCCGACATCGATCATCTCATTCATCAGATTTCATGAGAACCTTATTATTTTTTCATTCTTGATGCAAAACTACCTCATTGACTAGAAATCAAGTTCAAGAAATTATTTTTTCTGAGTGTATCTCTTCTAATGTCACTGAGTATTTATTCTTTTTCAAGTAATATCAAAATTTCACGCCAATATTCCAACAAGAAGAGTCAGAGACCCTGTAATTTGATGATTTTGTGCACATAAATTTACAAAATTTCATATTTTGTGAATTCTCTGTATGAAGTCACGAAACCTTAAATAAATCCTGGGCACGTTCAGACGGCGATAATGCTATAACGACAGTAACAATTCAATTCAAAAAGCCGCTCATAAGAAGCACTACAGTGCTGATTGCGCCCATTTTTGACAATTTGCTTCTATGGATTCTACAAACCGTGGCTGTTAAGCAAACTAATCTATGTCAAGCAATTTGAGTATATATTTCTCATGCTGTGGTGTAGTAGAATGTAACCACCATAACTCACTGGTTTTTTTTTCATTTATTACCAACTAGTATCCATAACGTACAATAAGCAATCTAAATAAACCCATTCAAGAAAGTACAACACAGTTGTCAAAATGTGCATTTTTGAAGATTTGTAATGGCGTTCACCAAAAATCATGAGCAGACTGCTTATCACTTACGCGTTACCAAATTCACATATACCTATGTTTGGATCTGTCTAGTAGTTTAGGTATACTTATTGCACATTATGAAGGTTTCAATTCATATCTATTCAAATTATGAAGCGTGTTCACTGTAACTCAAATTCTACCAATGGAAAAATGTTAATAAAGCTTGTGTTACCAATTGATGGGATGGATCCCTGTTGGCGATGAGGATTCTGATTCGGAAAGATTTCTTTGTCACTCAGATTTTCTTCTGGTTCAATTATCTGCAATAAGCATCAAGTATGAAACATGTAACTTAGAAAACGAGCACAAAATGTGTTGGAAGATATTTCTATATTTTTGCCATTTCAATGAAAGCATGGTTACGGAAAACAGACAAACAGTGATATCATTAGTTCATTTACTCATTTGGTGTAGAAGTTGTGACCCTTCCAAGTCAAATTGGGAGAAACAAAATGTTCTAAAAATTTTGGAGTGGACCTGAATAAAACGTTCAACTATTCAAATATATTTCTGCCATCTGAGAATTATCTCTCCCCAACGTTATTGCAAAAATGTCCAAGAAAATTAGGTATCATTAAAGCTGCTCTGGGCCGACAAGATATTGTTGATTTTGACTATTTGGTATGGATACACTATAAAACCTACATCACTTTTTATCCAACCCAATAAAAAACAGCAGCAATATAATCAAAATGGATCTAGCCACCTTCAGGTAGATGAAACTCATGCTCGCTTTTAACAGAAAGTATAAAAAAATCTGAATTTTCCGTATGCCTAACGTGCCTCACCTGCTGCCCTTGCTGCCCCACCCTACCCCCTCCTTGCATCTGCTGTCTAAGATGTGGAGGCATCACGGCTTGGTGGGGCTGCTGTCTTGCTCTTGCAGCTCCGCCTCTCAGCACACTGGTAGGGATTGGAGTGGGAGCACTATCAGCTGATTGGCTATCCCGTGCTTTGGTGCGTACTGTGACATGTCGGGGATTTAACCTAGACAAAAAAATCAAATTTGTTTTTGTTTTAATACATCAGCGGTGCCTTACACATCACATTTATTATTTGTTTTGCTCTTTTGCTGAGAAATAATATTGCTAGATCTCAATCATCAGTCAACGCTCATCATGTCCCAACAACTGCAAACCAACTCATTCTGTTAAGATAGCAAGTTCTTCTGAATATTGGGCAAAAGGACCCAGCATGGGTTCGTATAGCTGTAATCAACCTGTCAGTGATCGTGTCCGAGATTCCGCCACACAAATTCCATTCATTCTGCTAGACAGAATTTACAAGGCCGGATCCCAGACTATGTCACCGACAAGTCACAGTGAGTTCGATTCAATTTATTGTGTTGTAGTTCCTCTATTCAATACTTCTTTGTCGTCAGAAATTACGCTAGCCAACTTTAATAATTAATAACCAAAGGCAAATACAATACTTAAAAAATCGACCTAAGGGTCCATGATCGCATCTCCAGACACATCGCCAAATTCAACATAGGGGTGCATAGATTTTAAAGAAATACAGTAGAAATACTTTGGACAAAACATGTATTTATTGGCTACTGAATATGGATCTGCTAATAAATAAAGACACAAGTGGATAAAGATGTCATTTAATATTTTGTCAAAATTCCTTTTTGCATTAAACTAACCTTAAGGAGTGATTCTTTCATTCTGTAATTACTTTGTGGCAAGAACAAACTACTTAAACAAAATATTAAAAATTATGATAAAGTAAAAAGTCCCAATAAAAAATGTTTAAAGTCAATTTTCTCCATACAATGATTTTCTTACATTACACCTTTATCCACTTGTCTCTTGAAATATAATGCATTTTTGGTGTAACTATCTTGTATACCGTATATTCAAGCTATGATGCACGCTAGTGACAAACTCACCCCAGTAGTTTGCTGATATCTATCAGTGCGTGGTCTCCTGTAGGACTATCTACATCCGTTACTTTCTTTCCGTCAGCGTATACAGCGTATCCCGTGATTGTAGACCCACTGTGATGGTGAGGGGGTTGTAAAGGATGCCAGGTTACTAACAGAGTACCATCTTGAGGTCCTACATATCAACATACAATCGGACTGTGATAGTTGTATATGCAAATTACATTTGGAAACGTGACTATAACAATTTTCACCTATGACCAAAATGGATATGTAAGGCTGCAAATTATTACATTTGAAAATCAAAAGTGATGCTGGTTTTTCTACTTTGTAACATGAAGTCTTTATGAAGAGTTACGTCATAAAATCGAAATAAGCATTATAGGCTTTGTATTCTAAATTCCACTAGACTCAATCCATACGTGTACAAAATTTGATAGGCATGACCAACTCCTTATATTATTACCTGATAAGGGCTGCTCCCCGTTTTGAAGATGATCAAGGGAAATGACTGCTTTATTTCCAACAACTTGTAAGCGTTCTAATAATACACTTTGTAAAATCAGCTCTCTATCAGAAAGTAACCGTAGGGTTGAACTACATATCAGAACCAAAAGTCCGATTTTGATGATTTCTATTTCGAATGCCTGGCCGTGCTCTCCAGTGCGGTATTTACATCACAGATGATACTCACCTCTATTATCTATAATCTACAAATCTACTTAATCAGAGTTTCCTCACAACTACACTTTTTCTAAGCTCATATGGAGCTGCTAACTGCCAAATCGAATGACTAGTCGTTACAAGAATATAGATTTAACTTGGTTGTTGTAATGTATTTCAGTAAAGCAATCCACCTCCACCTCAACTCCATGAATAAAGAACCGACTGACCTACATTGATGAGGAATTATGAATTATCTGTGTTACCTGGTTCGACCATTATATCACTAGGCGGATCTGGCAGCCCCTTTGGCAGCGTCCTAAAGTCTGTATGCGCAGCCGCTGGCATGGGTAGCTCCTCAGCGACATTGGCGACATTTTGTGCAGATCGATGGTGTTTCGCACGGACTGTTACCCTGTACTGGGTGTTAGGTGCTAATCCCGTTATCGTGTGTCTGTACACTCCTGGTTTCACCGTACGGACCTAAAAAAATAGGAACATTATTAATAATTTGAAAGGTTATATAAATACTCCCAATATAAGAAGCTTCAGAAGACTTGCGACGAATCTTAGCATGAACGTCAATCATCCACAGGAGGACCAGTGATATGAGATGATGGCAGTAGATGGCAGACAAGTGGTATATGCTCAAAGCCGGCTAAATAAGCACTGTGAACGCTAGGTGGGTATAAAAATTGTATTATCTCACAATTCGCTTCAACAGCCCCAAAATGACGCTGATGCTGGTGATGGTGCTTCTAACAGTCAATTATATCGGTACCAACTTCTTAATTTCTTATCGTAAACAACGATAACATCACCTTTTTCCAAAATCTTCAAAATTGGATATTTTGAATTTTTAAATTGGCAAAGCTCATTTAAATTCTCTGTATTTTCCAATGTTGTCATCTATCAGCCAAATTTATCCGGATACTATTGCGATCTCAGAAACGGGAAAAGTAACTGGCAGTTAAAGTGTTTCGCATTTCCGAGTATTTTTGAAGATAGAAGAAATAAACAATTTTTTTCAACATCGTTCTTATTTTTTTCCTGACTATATGTGAGAAGGGACAACAAAATAAAAGTTCATTGATATTGTTACTTTCTCTACTGTACAAGTTGGCATAATCAGAATTTCAGTATGACGTTTCACCTCTTGACTTCAGTCATCAACTTTATTTTTTCGTATATGCTATGCTAATATTAGACTATTACACAGGTAAACAGGGTGTTTAATCTGGATCCAAGAAATGTATATGTAATTGAAATTACCAAACCCCAATTTATTAAAAAAATTGCCTTAGGAGGCATACATTATTATACAGTCATTTGTTTCTTAATGCGAGTATTATCAACCAAGCGTTCCTTCAGTTTCATGAACTAGGCATAGGTGAACAGCCCTGTTTCCGATTTCAATGATACAAAAGTGTACATGGTTCGGTACTATAAGACTTCAAACATCTAAAATAGTGATATTTGTGTAGTGACTTAATTCATCGTATAAAGAACAGCCTAATGCTAAACCATATTATTTTTTGGTCGTGTAGCAAAGATTGAAAACAGTATTATTTTATGTAGCTAATAGAAACATTTTGGAATAAGTAAACGCTGCAACCATGTTGCAGCTTCCTAAGAACACTTCATTTACTGATGACTGACGATACGGGCCTAAATCGGCATTCGACTGTCACTATGCTAAAATAACGCTTGCTATAGTCAAAACTTGGTCAAATTATCTTAATAACCTTCAAATACGCTTTTCGGAAACTGAAGCATTGGTGATTAAATGTGATAAGCAGCCATTCCCATGTCAACTAGGGTAATATTACTTTCTTCGAAATAACTTAGGTTTGATAATGTCAATGTATGACATAGACATCTTTGGAATCAGAATTGATAATTGTATCCACCTGAGCAAAAATCTAATATGGCATCCATGAGAACAAATTAAGATTATTGAAGACGAAACGTCACATCAAAGTTCTAATTATGCCATCTTGAAATAAGAAAGAGTGGCAATGTGACTATACTCAAAAAAGTTCCATTTGTTTCTTCTTTTCTGTTTGCCATTTTTTAGTTACCTAAATGAGCAACATTGCCTCGATTTAACCGGCTTCATATCTCTTACCGTTTCAGAGATCACAATGCAATGGTGACTGTCCAATTTAAAGCACTTCCGGTATATGTTAAATGGCCACTGTCATGTGGTAAGTACCAAATTTCATATCTGGACTGTTGAAGGCAGGTTCTGTAACTTTTTGTTCATTGAAAATTCTAAAACACTCAGAATATCCTTTTGAAACATTAACAGATAGCGCGTAATGGATTTAACTTATGTCGACATGACAGAGAAGGTAGGGTTCGGACATTGAGCAAGAACGGACTTCGATATCTATGAAGAAAAATCGCTTTAGGTGTTTGAGTTTGACTTTGTTAAATGTTGCTGTGATCTCAATATCGACGTAAGATGTTAAGGAAGAAATAATGCTAAACTGATTATCAACTTTTTAGAAAGTTTTGACACGATGCAACTAATTGACAAGCCCACTCCACATATGTTCAGCTAGGCAAGTATCATTGATTTGATTGCTCCAAGGATCTGATAGACCCTCACTTATATCTTCTAAATTCCACACACAGTCAACACCAGTTATACCAAAAATATATTCTTATTTTAATTTCGAGAATATAGTTAGGCATGGCTTTGAATGAGACCTTAGCTCGACTATACGGCCTGTTGTTGATAACCCTGTTAATTCAAAAGTTGCTATCATAAATAATATTACAATGAACCTCTTCAATGTCCATAAAACTCTTAAAATGGTCAAACTACCGAAGCTCGTAGGAGAACTTATGTAAATCAAGCTCATGACTAAATTGAAAAATAAGGCACATTATTGCTAAATTTAAACGAACATAAAATGTAGTACACTGGCAATATTACACGAAACTAAGAAATTTACTCAAAACTGCTATGGACAATAAAAAGAAAGCTTTTTTGCAATTTTTGGTAACCGGTCAAAAAAATAGGTGGAAGATGGGAGAATTTATATGGACATCCACATATATTTAAAGGCTGCGGCTAAAGAAATCCCTGCTGAACTTGGTAACGCGAACTTTTACACTTTCGTGTCTGGAATCAAATGTTTTTTGATCCAAACCTTGGGTTTTTAAATTTTCCTAAAAATACTGTAAAGTCTCAAGCCGCTTTCCTCAACACCTCATCAGTTCTTAAAAATGATTACCTCCTCTGGTCTGTTAAATGTAATCTTGTATATTCTGATTCCAAATCAACTAATATGCTCTTATTATGCTGTCCACACATACTGGCAGTGTTGTCTCACATTAAAAATGAATTTTCTGTCTACTAATTAGTTTCCTTCGTTATCGAAAATATCACACTAACTGACCTCCACATTATTGACACAAACGACGTGCTGGTGGTTTGAGTTGGCGGGAAGCCAACTTATGACAGCCGATGTGGAGGTGATGTTGGAAGCTCGCACTGCTGATGGGCCCAATTGATGCGTGTCTCTACCAATGATCATTGTACAGGCTGCGTCTCTTGAAGTTCGACGATTGCCTGTTACGCTACGGACGCTGATTCGATGAGGCTGCACAAAGGAGTAGCTGTTAAGACTTATTTCTAAGAAACGGCTGTGGATGTCGTTATCAACTTTAATCAGTCATTTTTGGAAAGTCGATAGATCAACCGACAGCGAAATAATATGGGGTTGTCCAAAACGGACGCAGGAAAGTAAACGCATATTAAAACAAGAAAGATTGATATTCAAATCAAGTTGGGTACTTTATTTTGAAGGTACATTTATACCATTTATGTATGAAAAATAATATCGCTCAAATGTTCACCACGACTGGATTTACAGACGTCCACGCGATGGTCGAAATTTTCAATGACATTTTGCAACATGGTCGGTTCTATGGCATTTATCTCGGCAATGATGTTGTTTTTGAGTTCTTGGAGGGTGGCTGGTTTGTTGACGTAGACTTTGCTTTTCAAATATCCCCATAAAAAGAAGTCCAAGGGAGTCAAATCGCACGATCTTGGTGGCCATGGCACATTTCCTCTGCCCGAAATCACGCGATCACCGAAGAAGTACTGCAATCGATGGATATTGCCGTTGGTTGTGTGGCATGTTGCACCGTCTTATTGGAAATAAACATCGTCCATATCCATTCCTTCAAGTTGCGGCAAAAGATAGTCCTCTATCATCACGTGATATCGCTCAGAATTGACGGCAACGGCTTCCCCGGCCGCATTTTCGAAAAAGTAACGTCCGATGATGCCTTTTGACCACAATGCACACCACACAGTCACTTTTTGAGGATTCATCGGCTGCTCTTGATACTCACGGGGATTTTTGTTCGCCCAGATGCGGCAGTTTTGCTTGTTTACCGTCCCATTCAAAGTGAAATGCGCTTCGTCGCTGAACCTGATTTTTGATGAAAAATTGGCATCAATTTGGCGGTGTTCAAGGAGCCAATCTGAGAACGTTCGGCGCGAAAAATGGTCGGCCCGACGCAGCTCTTGTGTCAATTGGATCTTGTAGGCGTGTACATTCAAATCCTTGTGGAGCAAACTGGTTCTCGAAATGCCCAATTCTTGGGATCGACGCGTTGTTGATTGTTTCGGATCGTCTCTCACACTCTCCTTCACAACAGCAATATTTTCCGGTGTGCGAACGCTTCTTGGCCGGTCAGAGCCTGGCAGATTTACCACAGAACCTGTTGCCTCGAATTTACGCACCAGACGACCGATGGTTGTTTCGTTTGGGCGGTTGTTGCGACCGAAATGTTCACGAAGCGCGCGAAACGTGTTTTTTATTTTGCACCATTTTTGTAGTGCTCTTGAATAACTTTAATGCGGTCTTCAATCGAATACGACTCCATAGCGATCAATGGTAAACATTCAACTAACAAAATGTCTATGTCAAATTGACGTTTACTTTCCTGCGTCCCTATTGGACAACCCTTTATGAGGCTTTCTGAGAAGAAAAAGATCACGAAGGCATTCATGTAGGATCATAAAGGACAACATATAGATTCTGACAAAGGGCAATATGTATCTTTCAATGCTTCTGGCGTCTCTTTTTTGTTCGGTGATCATTGATCTTTATGTTCCTTTTATTGATGTGATCATAATTTCGTTCGTGTTCTTAATCCGATAGAATGTTGAAATGCAAATTCTCCGAAATAGAATCATCACCAAGTCATGATTTAAAAATAAGTAATGGAACAGTACTAGCAAAAAAGTGAAGGCCTAGAATAGAAAGAGGGTATATTGATTGTAACTAGCTTCATCCACACATTATGTTGTAAATTACAATACAGTCATATCTCCCATCGTCAGAAAAAAACAATAGAAAAATCGGACTTGTAGGTGTCCAAAAGCTTATGGAGTGCTATAAAAATGTTTTTGTTCTGAAAAATCTGATAAAATTTTCCTTATGAAAGATTCAACATTGTTTGTAGGTTGGCTTCTATATGTCTTATGTGCTATCAGCTGGTGCAAGAAAGGAGAATCAATCAATTATCACTTGTCATTTACCATAAACTATAATTAAAATCATGCATTTACTCATGCTCTTTACATGTAATAAAGTTTATACTCAAATATGAATAGTTAGGAGACATTTCGCTTACCATAATGAATATTGAATCTTCATCTATCTACATATACTTCTGATAAAACTGTCAAGGATTTGAAAGTTAAAGATCTTAAAATGTCATCTGAAACTCCGGATCCCTCTGAACCAGTAGGATATCGACAGATTGATCGCTAACTAATGATACAAGCAATAACGATAAAAATAAATATTACTCAAACTGTAATATAATAAAATCCTACTGTAGTTGGACGTAGCAGAGTACCTTAACTAGGATCATAGATCATTTTGCACCATCAGAACTTTAAGCCTCTTTTATATCAAATTATTGTACATACCCTATTACTGTCAACACCCTCAACCAGCGCTCTGGTCCTCTCAGAAGCCTTCACGGTGGCCTTCAACACTCCATCAACGTACACGTGGTAGCTGTCGATTTGGTTAGGCCCCACGTTCTCAGGGGCCGTCCAAGAAATGAGCACGCTCTTGTTCAGCTGCCTCTCGAGCGTCAGCTGCCTCGGGGCGGGCACTAGCACCGAGAACAAACAGTGCTCAGCTAAAGGGGAAGTCCAACGGTGCGCTTAGTGATTTGAGGGGTACGCAAGCTCGTCAGGCCACATATTAACATCGAAAACATTGATCACAATACAATGAAACATCAAAGCGGCCACGCAGTGTTACGGATGTGTTATGCTTGAGCACAGGTTGCGACAGATGACACAAATTACTTTTCGTGGTCAGTATTGTGTTAACTACATTGTCTTATTAATTTCACTTCGTTTGTCCAAGTTTCATGGAGAAAATAAAAGTAAAAGGTTTGCACAATTGTTATACTATACTCAAAAAATCCAGGCTAAATAATGTAGGAATGCAAAAAAAATACAAATAACTAACCACAATTTAGTCAGAGCGATCCGGTGGACCTTTGCTCTTAGTTAAAAGTCTCGTCGGTCTGTTAGTCTGTCAGGTCTGGCTACCCAGATACCAAACATGTTTAAGGAGAAAAGGGAAAGAAGGAAAGAAAGGAATGAACAAATAGAGCAAAGAAAAGAAGTAAATCATTTGAAATAGCTTAAGCATTATTGCTTTGACTACTCGATTTATTTTTTAACTCCAAAAAATAATTTTGATCGGTTTTGCATACTGAAATAATTTTGGTCTGAATTTACAATTTAATTTTGTTCACAGTGCGAGGCGCGGCCTGGAATGTTTGCGAACTTGCTCGACTGTGTAGCCTACTGAATCACGCAACAGAGGGTTGCTGTGCGATTCCGCTTGATTATGACGCCGCTGCACCTGTTGTTTTACGTAATCCCTTAGACGTGGGATATCAAGATCTCTGTGAATAGTCTCATTTGACACGTACCCAGGGGCGTTAGTAATTGTGCGTAGGGTTAGTTGAACGTTTCATCATTGAATATTTATACACATAATATTTTTACAGGGTGAACTATTTGCTGTGGTCACATTCTTTCCTAAGCAAGGTCATAAGAACTAGCTCAAATCAATAGTCTATGAGCTAATATCAAATTGTATTTTGGCAGAGATATTGAATAGTGATGTTACAACCACGAAATTTACGGCATTTGTGTTTTGCGCTCATCTTCTGCTTTATTTCAGATTCCACTAGACCTAAATAGCCGTGGAACCGTGGAGCTCAAGAGATCCGCCGTGTGGTATCTCCACATTTGACAGTCTAAGACCGTCAATCACCTATGCACAAACACATAATCCACATCCAAGGGAAAAATTATCTGGGATCGGATTCAAACCTGCGCAGCTCACGGCGGCTGATTAGTAGCTGCACATGTCTCAGTTTTTGAATGTGTTACTGTAATTCAATCACTTTCGTTTTTTGCATGGTCTACTGTGTAGTTTTTAACGTGATATAAAAAACTCTGCTCCTGAAATTTATACGACAGCTATTTTTGAAAGGCGAGTGTACTTTTAGACAAAGATCAATTAAATCCAATCTAAAATAATGTTTGTTACTCGAATGCCGGATATTGCGTTGTTGATACAATATTACCTAACATCTTTGCCAAATTTTATTCGGTTCGGAGGTACGATTTTCAAACAAATCGAATTTTGGTGTCCGGAATCACGAACATTCAAAAAATGCAACCATAATGCTGACTCCTAAGATATTGATTTTAGAGGCATAGTTATTGGAGTGGAATGAGTTATGACCTTTTTGATTTAAAAATTACTGTTGAACCACTGAAAATGGGTAACTTTGTAAAATAGTTCTTATATCTTAATAATAAAGAAAATTACTATACACTTGTTCTATCGCGGTGTTCAATTGGTGGGCTAACTGATGAGGGTGCTAGATTAATTTTAATTTTTGAGTTTACAGAATTTAGTCTTCAAATTCATGTTTGGTAATTGGTCAAAAACGATGTAAATGAAAATGAAAAGCGGGAATTATTGTTTTCACTTGCAAACCCTGTATTTTTTTCTGGTCAGGTCTGCTGAAATAACTTATTATCCGAAAAGTGAAGATCATTTTATGAGAATTTATTTCTTTTTAATTTTGTAAGATCCCCAAAAACTAAAACGTATCTGTTAAAATATACCAAAATATAAAACATTCGAGTTTACGTGGAAGCAATACTCTAGTGTCTCCCATCCAGTTTTGGTAAACAGTACCACCACCTTAATGAGACCTGCTGCAATCCTGCAGTCGAGTAATGCATCATAAATTGTGTCACTGGTCAGTTTCATACAATTCTGTCATTTTAAAATATTTCGGCAGTGTCAGTCAGTGCTAAATGATAAGTGCCATCCACGATCACTTTCGACCAAATGGACTCCAATAAAGCATGGGATCACCGGTAGCCATCACCACTGAGGCGGACTGGCACGCAGAGCTAAAAGACAATGGTAACAAATTGGTTGTGGCCAAATTTGGAGCATCTTGGTGCGCGGCATGCCAAAAACTACAACCGATATTAGACCAAGCAGTGAAAACACATCCTGATGTAAGATTCTTAGATATAGATGTGGACCAACTGGCTGATTTGGCCGCTGACTTAGGTGTTTCTTCCATTCCTACGGTGTTTTTAATAAAAAACGGAAAGGTCATAGATCAGGTATGATGTGTGAGTTGTCTTGTTTATATATTTACTATCTGGAGCTGAACTTGATAGTTGAAATGATATTCAAAATGGACCCATAAATACAGGAATTATGTAATATATCCATATGTTGCATGAACAAACATAGAATCAGGAATGAGCTTCCAAAAAATTGAGGGTACAAATTGTTGATCCTCATAGTACACCAGATGAGTATTCTTTATCAGTGAGGCTATTCAGAAACACTTAATTTATAAACGTAGAAGTATATGCTGGAAGGAAGGGAAACTGATGCTAATTGTTTGACTATGTGTCAATAGAGTCAGGGAATACAAGAACGCAGATTTATAATCTTCATATCGTTAGGAAAGCGCATTGGGTCTTTTTGTGTTATCAAATGAAGAGTCTTTCACAAATACGTAATGACGTCATCATAGTAACTGCAATTGGCAAATGTTGCCCATTTATTAATCTAGCCTAATCTTTTCAGGTACTGGGCATAAATGAAGAAGCATTATCCGAGAAGATCGAGACCCACAAAAATGAATAATCAGCTAATAAATAAATTCTTTTAAATAAAATAGTACATACAAAATTACTCGATGACGACTTTCTTGCACGAGTTGAAAAAACGTAATGAACAATACACACAATCACAGATCCAAATTAATGAGCTTATTCAAAATGCGGCAAAACAACAGCTACGTCATACCTCTCTAGGTGGCATTCACGGTGTGTAGGCGATACCTACCAGGGATGCCAATTTAACGTCTGATGCCGTCCTCTAATGCCCTCATTAATGCTCCTGTTTGATAAGTAGCAAAGGTACGCACCGCTCCACACGTCACGATTGCATATGTACCCACCATAAATATTGTTATGAAATGAAACTTTGCGAATTCGTGGCTTACACGACAGCTCATACTCATCATGATGTCGATATCAAGCGATCAAACCGTAGCTCTTTAACTCGTATGTCTAAATGAAGGGGGCCCTACAGGAGAAGCTTATCTAGTCTGATCAGCTTAGTTCATATATACAACACAGCTGTTTATAAACCGTGGTGGAAAGATGTTTAATTATCCTAGCATTGGTCTTCTACAACAGAGTAATTGACAGGTTCCGTTGCTAAAGGGTTAACAAGGCTGTCTGCTCTTAAATATGCTTTCGTTGCAAGCTATTCAATAAGCCCACTGAGGGGTGAAATTTCAGGGTTAGCATGCTTCCGTGATGTGTTCAGCAGCCCTTACACGTCATGTCTAACGATAGATTTACATTGGCGGGCGGCACATGTGATTGAATTTTAATTCTATAAAACTCCAGCCGCATATATGTTTTGATGTCTCCTTATTATACGTTTCGGCCATCACGATGGTGTTTTTTTAACTACCGTGATGGTTGAAATGTCGTGCAATGAAGAGAAATCAAAACACATGTATAGTTGTAGTCACCGTTCTTGGAGGTTACGTCATCAACGCCATATGAAATAAGTAAACAGATCAAGTCTCCGTACCATGGGCGAATCTCAATTTTCTTAGCTGAGGGAAACCGATTCAAAATAATTTACTAATCGTAATTCTTCAAATTAAATCTTCTAATCTAGAACTTAAGCAAGTGTTTTTTATAGTTGAAATAAAAAATACATACAATACAAAATAATACATCTATTTGCTAACCTTGCACGCTGATGTGAAGTAAGTTGTCACTCTGACAAATATGATTGAATTGCACTCATACGTAACGACCAAGTTTTCCCGACGAAGACACACAACTAAAAAACGGTACTTACCGAACACGGGTAGGTTGCATGTGTATGTATGAGGGAGATGGCTCGTATATATGAAGGGATACTGGTACATATGTAATCTGCCTCTGTGCGCGAACGTTTGTTTGTGTAAGCTCGGACAGTTATTTAGCTTTGCCTCACCACCTCGCCAAAGTATGAGTATTGCATGCTAATCATTTTTACAGTGACAACCCACTTGACATGGACGTACCATTTTGAGTTTATCTTTTATTGATCTTGGTAATATAAAGCAGTATCTGAAAATACAACGAACAGACATATCGATAGTTTTTGCCAAAATTATTGAAGCACTTTGAAAAAATGAATGAAAGCAATTATTGTCCTTGATTCGGTCAGACAATGGAGTCCCATGAACATAAAGACCACAGGATAAGTTTCAGGAGTTACATTGAATACTGTATTTTCAACTTCACACATAAAGTCTATTTGAATATGTTCTTTAAAATTTTTATGGTCCCAGTCATGATGACCATTGATAGCGGATTAAATATAAGTTATAACCGGTATGACAAGTTGTCACCGAAATCTCAAAATTTCCCATGGTCGAAGCAGGACTTTTCCGTTCGGGTCATAAAACTGCTTGTCTTATCCATTTTACGTTTACGAACGAATAAGTACATTTCTTAGAAGAGCTTATGCTCAAAAATACGGTCAGCATATACTCAGACATAATTCATTAGAGCATCGAAATGACACCTCAAGTGATGCGAAATAGTAGAAAATACTGGATTTACCAGATATCATATAATAGCTTTGTATAACCCATACATACATAACATACCTACACACGCGCCCACACACACATAAATACAGCTTTTTTCAATGCTTGATGTTTTTAGCATGTTGCGAAAGCATACTTTGGTGCCTGGCGCATTGCAATATTTCCAGAAATGTTTTCTTTATATTCGAGGATCTATGAGAAACCCATGTCATGCTTGGTAATTATTAACTTTCTACTAGTTCAAATGCTGTTTGCATTGTAGCGCCTAAGTAGTTGCCCAATAATACGTCACGAGCCACTAGTTTTGACAAGTCAACGATGTCAAAGTAACAGGAGAGATGACATTATGGCAGCGATAAGTCATCATTCATTAAGTGTGTCACATTGCGACACCTCACTAGTCATGAGGCATGGGAACGCCTATTATGGTAAGCGATGAGGTAACATGGCAGGAACAGAACACCTACAAAGGTCCGCTTATAGCTATGTTCTCAGCACCATGGTGTCTCCCCTGCAAAGGGGTCAAACCTACATTCTATGAGCTGGCAAAGAAATACCCACATATAAAATTCCTTGATGTTGACATAGACGAAATGCAAGAGATGGCCGCCGAGATGGGAGTTATAGCCATACCAATGCTTTTTTACTATAGAAATGGCGTTGTTGTCGATTCAGTAAGTGGAATCACTTATTAACGTGTGCTCGAAAAATACGCCTAACCCAAAACTTTATTTGGATGGTTGTATACAATTTCCATCATCGCCCATACTGCTAAGTATAATAAGGTTGCAGTAATTCCCTTAGAGGCATTAAAACCCTTTCCATTTTTCTTTTGAAGAAAATTGTATTCTTAAACATCACATCAATTAATGAATGGAATGATGACTCTTCCACCTAACTGGTAATAAGAAGAATGAGTCTCATAATCTGCGGCAACTGTCTTTACAATAAATTAGAAAAATAAAATAACGTCTTTATCCGTTGGGCACTTAAACTCGACCGATTAACATTTAAGACGTTTATTATTATTATTATTATTAACAAACCTAGATGAAAAATATTAATTCAACCTAATTTTTAAACCTAACTACCATATATATAAATATATATATATATATATATATATGTATAATATGGTGTATAAAATGAAGTATGTATATGCATAATGATAAGATTTTATATGTAGTACATCATGTGCTGTAAGAAATCTTTTCTGAATTTGCTCTGATACGAATGTTTCGGTTGAATGGAAGAACGGATTTTTCTATAAGGTAGTAAGATCCGAATTCTGCCATTTGTCAGGAAAGTAGCTAGAATTTGTCCAAGCTCTATATAATCTTTTTGTGTGTATCAGTTATCACTTTTCTTAGTAGATGGGATCCCTACCTATATCTACAAATATACATTTTCTGCAGATTTGCGGGAAAAACACCAAAGACATAACTAAGAGAACAGAAGAATACGTAAAAACGCTGGCTCAAAAGGAGAAGAGCAACACCACGTAGTCAAATGAAACTGTACTACTCAATAAAGTATACCGTGGTCCATACATAGATTCAGCTTCAGTTTATGCCTTATAATTCTAATAACGGTTTGAGGGAAAAAAGTCAGCTCAGAAGTAAGTAAAAAGAAAAAAGGATAAGTCACTTACATCGGGTAGTGATGTCAAAGGCGAATATTACCGTCCGAACTTAATGGTAAGAATACGCAAGTTACGGTGATATTATCTAAGGATTGGGTAACATTCGTTTGGTAATATTCGGCAATGATATTCGTGGAGCCCATAACGGAACAAGCCAGTTGTTGTATCTCTATCACAGATGACAGTCTAAAAGGCTTTTCTGGAGCTCTGGTGTTATGGTACTTCATAAGTGCCATCGTGCTAGATTTTTGTTCAAAACATAAGATTTGATACTGAAATTTTCACATAGCTAAGAGAGTTAAACAGTGTCTATTGCGCTGCATTTATTTTAAAAGGCAATAAACTATTTCAATTTTCAATCCCACAACCCCGTTAGCAACAGGGATCTAGCTTAAAATACGTTATCAAATAGAACTGTCTGAAAAACGCCCATTTGACACCCCAGATCTGGAAAATTTCCAAAACTACATCTTTCTGCAGTCTTAGGCAACTGTATATGTCATTGTAAAACAAGGCGTTCACCTATATTTTATGATAATAACCTCTATGATGATTCTCATCTGTGGGCTATAGCTCATAGCACCTTTTACTACTAATTATTTCTAACGATATGACATTTTTTGTGTGCTACGTAACAAAAGATTAAAATTTAATGTAAGTTCGATAATTTGTCAGAAATTCAATCAATGTGAAGGTGTCCTTGAAGTAACAGATCGAATAAATATGGTCGATTTCTTGTAAAAAGACTCTCAAACTAGAAAACGATTAGGTTTGGCTAATTCCCTTAGCAAATCAGGAGATACGTCATAAATCACCTGGTTTGGCTACAAAAACCTGTCTTTACATTTTCGTCATTAAATGCATCAATTATAGAGAAGCATTTCCCCCTATTTCGAAGCATGGACACAAATATGCTGCAATATCTAGAATGATATGACAGAAATTAAATAAGCATTTTATTCAAAATAGCAATGTCTCGTTGCGACTGTACAAATGACTGCTTAATAACTTCTTTGACGGCATCAATAAAATTACAGAATGCTTATTCTTCGACAAACTCCGAAAAAATATTCAATTTACTCAACTACCGTGCGAAAAAGCCTGTTCATCAAGCCAGCCCTGTTAAGAGGGGGCGTAATTATCCTTTCGTCCAGTTGAATGCGTAACAGCTCCCTGTTAACAGTAATTGGGCTGACTTGAGGAGGAGGAAGTAACTCGATTATTTACTCGATATTTGTTAAAGAATGTATTAATCAGAATTTTTTATAGCTACAGTGAGACACTGTTTTATTCACTAAAATAATCAGTAATGGCCTCATGCCAATCTATTGAAACAGGTGTGATCCTCAATTCGTAAACTCACTCCACTCTCGGAATGTCCGGGTGAAGGGTGGGCTCGAGGGAACAACATCGAAGATAAAATTTGTTTTTCGAACATCTGCGGGATTAACAGTAACATTGATGCTGTTCATCACTACCTGCAATCCAATCGTCCCGCTGTGCTTTTCTTGGCGGAGACAAAAATCTCAGAGACTGCACCGATTAACCATCTCAGCTTCCCAAACTACGAGGTGCACTCCAATCTGAGAAAGAACGGGGGAGTTGTGGCTTCTGTCTGCAGCAGTCTTTCCTGCTCCAGGGATCTTTCTTTGGAATCAGACCGGAAGGACATTCTGTGGCTTCGCCTCAAACAAAACATCACCCAAATTTATTTGCTGCCTTTATCGCTCTCCCTCGAACCATAACTGGGATGACCTACTCGAATACCTCGCCGTCCAGATCGACTTCCTGAACATCAATCATCCCGCTTCAGAGGTAGTTCTTCTCGGTGATTTCAATGCCCATAATGAGCTTTGGTTGGGCTCAAATAAGACCGATGCAGCAGGTCGTGCAGTCGAAGCGTTCGCTCTTACTCAAGGGCTGACCCAGCTGGTGACGAGCCCTACTTTTTTCCCCCGCGTCTCGTCACACGCCAGTAGCCTGCTGGATCTCTTTCTGACCACGCATCCTGCCCCTTACAGCACTGCTGTCCTGTCCCCCCTGGGTAACTCAGATCACGGTGTTGTGGAGGTTAGGTTTCGGTCAGAAGCCGCTGTGGCAGCAGAAACTCGCACAGGCCGCAAAACTTGGCATTACGGACATGCCGACTGGGAGGGGCTCAGAGACTTCTTCTCTAGCTTTCCTCGGAGAGATGTCTGTTTCACTGACGCGGATGCGTCGACTGTCTGTTCTTCAATAACCGAAATTATCCACGTCGGAATGGAGGAATACATCCCTCACACAGTGAAAGTTCCTAAACCAGGGTCCAACGGCTGGTTCAACAAATCGTGTGACACTGCTCGCCAGCAGAAGATCAAGGCCCACAGGACCTACTTACAAAACCCCACTGTAGAGAACAGACAAGCCGACGTCGAGTCCAGAAACAAATATAACGAAGCAGTTCGCAATGCCAAAAACCAGCATGATATAAAAGTTAGGCACAGGGTAATGTCGCAGGGTAATGGCAGTCGGTCTTTCTGGACGCTGGCCAAGCAGATTGAAAAGAACTTCTCACACAGTAGCCTTCCACCTCTTACGTGTCAGGATGGAACTATTGTATTCGACTCAAAGGCCAAGGCGGAAGTGCTAGCAAAGATCTTTGCTGCCGACTCCACCAACGCCCAAGTGCCGTCAATTCAAAGGGTTCCCCACACTATGCGGGGGGTAACATTCAGGCATAAGACCGTAAGACGAGTGCTCTTGTCGCTCGACATCAACAAAGCTTCTGGTCCGGACTTGATTCCTGCCATTGTACTGAAGAGATGTGCAGCGGAGCTTGCTCCAGTTCTTTCGCGTCTCTTCCAGATATCTTATGAATCCGGCACCTTCCCAGAAAACTGGAAATTTGCTCATGTACAGCCCATCCCAAAAAAAGGATCTAAAACCGACCCCTACAACTACAGGCCTATAGCTCTGCTTTCTGTTATAAGTAAAGTAATGGAGAGGTGCATAAATCGCGAGCTTCTGGACTACCTCGAACGTCACAGCTTGATTAGCGACAGGCAGTACGGTTTTCGGCACCAACGATCCACAGGGGGACTCCTAGCTTACGTCACGCAACTGTGGAGTAAACTCATCCAGTCCCATAGTGAGGCTCATGTCGTTGCTCTTGACATCACGAAAGCGTTCGATCAGCTGTGGCACGCTGCCCTCTTAAGAAAAACTTCCATCCTACGGCCTCCCAGAAAAGCTTTGCAGATGGGTGGCTGACTTTATCTCTGGCCGCAAGATATCCGTCGTAATTGACGGATTCTCCTCTTCATCCCACAACGTCAACGCGGGTGTTCCCCAGGGATCGGTCTTGGCTCCAACACTGTTTCTCTTACATATCAACGACCTCCTTTCCTGCACGATCAACCCAATCCACAGCTTCGCTGATGACAGCACTCTACATGCAGGAATTCAGAGTGACAAGCCAATCTCTGCCACTGAGCTGGAAAAAAGAAGACTAGCGACGACTTCTTCTCTGACATGAGACCTGGAGGCTATCACTGCTTGGGGACGCAACAATCTTGTACAGTTCAATGCTTCCAAAACACAGTACTGTACTTTGACGAACAAAAAGCGTCATAGCGCTCATACAGTTTCGATGGACGGCCGAGTTCTACCAAAGAGCCATTCATTTCGGCTGGTCGGAGTCCAGATCACCGAGGACCTGATCTGGCACGAACACATCTCTTCAATAGCTGCAGCTGCTGGGAAAAAGCTAGGCTATTTGTTTAGGGCTAAGAAGTACTTTTCTCCGCATGACCTTCTCACTCTATACAAGGCCCAGATAAGACCTAGCCTCGAGTATGGCTCACACATTTGGGGTGCTGCTGCCCCGACTACATTGTCCATGCTCGATGCTGTCCAGAGGAGGGCGGTCCGACTGATCGATGACTCTTCTCTAACAGACAGTCTCGGGACTCTTTCGCACCGGCGGGCCGTCGGCGATCTAGCTCTTTTCTATCGCTACACCAACGGGCTTTACTCCGCAGAGCTCTCTTCCATGATGCCGCCGCGCGATGTGCCTGCCAGACAGACCCGCCTGACTTCGGCGTCCCATCCTAACCGTGTCAAACTTCGTACATCCAGAACTGGCCGATACGACCGCTCCTTTGTCCCGAGGGTGTTTAGATTGTGGAACAATCTACGGGAAGAAGCTTTTCCCAGTTCTACTAACCTTAGGCAGTTCAAAAATCGTATTAACAAAATTTATTTGGGATCATCATAGCAGCCGCGGTGTTCCGGCATTTAGGTTTCAGCCTGCGCGGCTGTTTCGTTTTTATTATACCTTTGTGTCTGGACACAGGTTTCAGTACCTGAATTACGTGATGTATGAAGTATTTCTTGAACTAAGATTTTATTTGTACAAAAAATCGACCAAATTCATTAGATTCGTTACTTCAAAAGCTCCTTCTCATTGCCCAAATTTGGGCGCCGTTGTTGATTTCTGCCGGTCAATAGTGAAATCGGGTCCTACTCGCGTTATGCCGTACCTCATATAAATTGGCGGAAATGAATTGATCAAAGTCATATTACGATAAAACATGACCAAAGCAACATGTTTTTAACGAAAATTAATTTCGCATCAGTTAGAATCAACGAGTTTTTCCGGAAGTTACCGTTTATTCTTAGTTACAGGTAGTTATGAGAAAAGTAGCATTATTCTGCCAAACAACATGAGTGAAACGTATGAAAATTGGTTATTGTAATCATAACATAATGTAGCATCTAATATAGAAACGGGAAGAAAGTTAAAGTAACGATATCTTGATAGAAAGGAAAATTTAAACGAATAGCTGCCGTACCGTTTGGCAATGATTTCAGCTGTACTAGGTGCTTTTCGATCCTTCGTAACTAATAAGTCATACAATATAGCAAGTCATGTGGATAAAACGTAGTAAATGGTTGTTGTGCTAAGATATGAGGGAGCAACAAACACTTAAGTACG